AAAACTGAGCTTTCCTCAGCTTTACCAGGCTCAGAAAGCTGAGCTTTCCTCAGCTTTACCAGGCTCAGAAAACTGAGCTTTCCTCAGCTTTACCAGGCTCAGAAAACTGAGATTTCCTCAGCTGTACCAGGCTCCAAAAACAGAGATTTCTTCAGCTTTACCAGGCTCAGAGAGTTGAGCCTTCCTCAGCTTTACCAGGCTCAGAAAACTGAGCTTTTCTCAGCATTACCAGGCTCAGAGAGATGAGATTTCCTCAGCTTTACCAGGCTCCAAAACTGCAAGCACCACAGGCTGCTCTGTACCTGGTAGGAGTCCATGCAGACAGGGCTGCAGGCCAGCTCTTCATCCACGGCGTGCAGCTTCTCCATGAAGGTGCTGTCCTTGCTCTGCTTGGGTTTGGGAGGTGGTGGGGGTCCCATGGGCACCACCTCAGCACTGATGTGCCTAACAGCAGGTGAGGTGGCCACCTCCACCTAATCAAAAAGGTGTTAAAAGGTTTTATTCAGAACAGATCTTTCCAAGGACAGAGTAAATCTCTTTTTCTGCTCGACCAGAAATGGGAGAAATGCTTCGCAGGAGGATGTGGATTTTTCCTATTACACTCACTTTGGTTTTCAGAAAATACAAAGAAATAAATATCAAGATTTTCTGGAAATTAAGACATTTATTTGGAAGAGCTGAGTATCGGTCTCAACATTACCACAGCTGATAAACTGTGGCAATTTACCCCCCCTCCAATTCACTGTGGCAGAATCCTCCCAAAAACAAACTCCTGGTGAGTAGAATGTGGAAATAACAATATAATATTGCTGGTTTTGATCCCAGTGTCAATTCTGATTCTTGTTTGCTGCTCCTTGGCCTGTATCACACTGCACCCACCACTCCCTCTGCCTGTGCACAGGCACAAAAACACTTTTATGCTTTCACCAAAACTCACTTTCTGCTCTTAAGCCAAGCACAGGAAGCCATTCTCCAGCACTCCTCAGAAATTACCAGAAAAATAATCATTATCTAAGGAACTAACAACAGTTTCTATACCTGTGCACAGTCACAAAAACGAAAACTCACTTTCTGCTCCTAAGCCAAGCACAGGAAGTCATTTTCAAGCACTCCTCAGAAATTACCAGAAAAATAATCATTATCTAAGGAATTAACAACAGTTTCTATGCCCAGAGCTTTATTTTAGACTCAGCCCTCCCTGCAAGGAAATGTGGTACCACCTGGGAGCTGGAATGACCCCACAGCTTTAGGAATTGGTTTTTTTGGGGGGGCATTTGGATGAATAAATTAGGAAAAATGACTGTTTCCTCCAGCTTTACCTCACAGACTGTCCCTCCCTCCTCGTCAGAGGAGCGCCTGGTCCTGCACCTCTTGGCTCCACGAGGAGAAGAAGCTGTGCTCTCCACATCACTCTCCAGCAGGCTCTGCAGGGCAAGAGGTGCACAACACTCTCAAAAACCATCGAGCCACAAACCATAACTGTGGGAATCCAGAGCTTCCCTCTGGCTGCGCTGGGACCCCCCTGGACAGAGCCCCAGAGACACTGGCTGTGATCTCTGTCCATGGAAAAGAGTTTTCAATCTTACAGGATGAATTACCAGCTCTGAGTGTTTGATAGAAGCAATAATTAGTGTGGCATGGGTGCAAAAGTAAAATTTTAGAATTCTAGATGAGGGGTCCAAAGGGGACAAGATGGAGGAAATTGGGTGTGCCTTGTCCTTTTTCTCCTTCTTCATGCCCTCCATGTCTCACTGTGGTGTTGGCATTTTTCTGCTGGTTCAGGCTGGGGACACACTGTCCAACGTAGGTGACAGATATTGGCACGTTCTTGTAAATCCAGCCCAGGGAGTTTCTGGTATTGAATGTTTGTAACATTATGTACCAGATATAATGTTTGTAACATTATATATCAGAAACTGGGGACTGGGTTTAGGCTGGGGACACACTGTTCAATATTGGTGATAGATTTAGGCACGTTATTGTAAATATATCACAATAGTTTCTGGTATTTAATGTTTGTAACATCCCACTGAGGGCAGAGCCCCACACGCTGCCCTGCAGGACAGAGCTGGGCAGGGCAGCAGAACATGTGAGAGATAAACAGAATAAACAACCTGGAAACCAGCACAGACCAATTATGAATTCTTCTTTGGCAATGGGCAGAAAGACAGAGACTTTCTACAATCTGGGAATCATCAATACCACAGATTCTGACAAATATCTGCTCTAAATAACATTTCAAAGACTCTCTTCCAGCCAAAATGAATAGCAGAGCATTGAAGAATGATTGCTGGGAGGTTCAGGATGGCTTACAGGTATCCATCCATGTGTTAAAATAAAGAGGGTTTTCCTGCCTGAGACACAAGCTGCATTTACCTCTTCTGCAGTCTCATCCTCCTCTTCATCATCAGGCTGGTATTCTTCATCAGAGGAATCATCTTCCTCCAGGGGAATGTCCACAAACTGAGGGGGCTGCACACAAGAGAAAGAGGGTGACCACCCTTAACAACAGGAAGAGGAGGAGATGAACAGTCAGAGCAAATATTTCACACTGAGGAAACACCCTGAAGCTCAGAAAGGAAATCCTGAAGAAAGCAAAGAAATAAATCACCAGAAGATTGGCAAAGGAAAGCCAAGTGGTGCAAGAACAGGCACAAATAATTTAATATTTATATGAGGGAAACTGCATGAGCAGACAGCAGCTCAGAGATGGTTTTAGCACACGAGTCTGCTCCAGCCCTCCTCTTTTGGAGGAAGCCTCCAGTATGATCTCCCCTTTCCCAGCAATAATTCACTTACCTTCACCTCGTTTGCCTTCTTAATTGGAGAAATATTCCACGTTGGAATCACCTAGGGACAGCAATAAAACCCACTTGGGCTGTGTCACACAGGCAGGGTCAGTCTCATCAATCTGAGGAGCACCTGAGCTTGTGGCCTTGATCTCCACAGTGGCCAGGCAACAACAGAGCTCAGACAAAACCTTCCAATCTCCCTTGGGATCTCCAGGAAGGGAATTCAGGACAATGGACACTGGGAGTTCACTGTCCTTGCCAAGCCTGACCTGATCAGCTCAAATTAATCCTTTCTTAACACTGCCTTGACTGATTCTTTGCACTTCAAGACTCAAATTACATTTAGGCTTCTCTTAGAGGGTCACACACACAAAAAAATAAAAACCACAAAAAACACAGAACAACAGGACAGGCTGAGCTGGAAGGGACAAGGATGGTGAGTCCAAAACCAAAAAACATTCACAGAACACCAGGACAGGTTGAGCTGGAAGGGACAGGGATAGAGAGTCCAAAACCAAAAAACATTCACAGAACAACAGGACAGGTTGAGCTGGAAGGGACAAGGATGGTGAGTCCAAAACCAAAAAACATTCACAGAACAACAGGACAGGCTGAGCTGGGAGGGACAGGGATGATGAGTCCAACTCCTGGCCCTGCACAAACACCCCAAAAATCCCAGCCTGAGCACCCCTGGGAGCATTGTCCAAACCCTCCTGGGGCTGGGACCATTCCCAGCTCCTCTGGGGGAAGAAGTTTTTCCTCTATCCAGCCATTCCCGGGGCTGCTGTCACTGTCAGCAAGAGCAGAATGATTTACTCACCCCTCCTTTCTCCACCACTTCCTTCAGTTTGGAACGAGTCATTTTGGGCTCCTGAGAGTTTAAAACAAGATAAAAGCAACAAATTCAGGCCTTTCCTTAATGAGATTTTTCCCCAGCAACTCTTTACTATCAGTAAAGTTATTATGAGTAAAGTATAGCTTACTATGAAGCTTTTCTCTTTTTTTAAAATTCATTGCCTTTAAATTCACTACCTTGAAATTAATTACATTTCAGACACCTCAAAAATAACTCCTCCTATTTCTGTTTTCATAATTTACACTCAGACACTTCGTCCAGGTGGCAAATCTGATCATGAAATCCAATTATTATAACAGGTAAATTACTTTTTTGTTCTACCTCTTCTCCACCACATCACATTGTAGCCCAGGAAGACTCTGTGCATTTGGAATAACTGATAAAACAAACTGAGCAAGTTTAACTTACAAACTTTTTAACTTACAAACAAAGGAATATCTTCTGTCTCACTGATGGCTGCTTTCACCATGGCCACCACGTGCTCATTTGTGATCACTTCCTAAAGGAACACACAAAACCAGGATGTTTATCAAAGAAAAACAGATAATGCAACACGTGTTGGAATAAACTACCTGGAAATACTCATTGTATTTCCTCCACGCTTTGGAATGACACTGTAGCAAAAATAACTGTTCAGAGATCAGACAGTCAAATTTAAATGAATTAATTTTAAATAAATTATTTTTTTATTATTTTAAATAAATTAATTAATTTAAAATTTAAATCACAGCAGCAATTAAAACATTTGCACTATGTTCTTTGGGAATGCTCCCCAGAATCAATTCCCAGCAGAAAGAAAATAGTCAAAACAAAAGCCCACACCGGTTTCCCTGAGATCAGTAATCAGTCATGTCATGTAATCAGTAAAATGAGCTGCTCCCAGTCACAGCAGGAATGATGCTGAGAAGCTGCAATAGAAAACCTAAAAA